AAATCATATTACCTGTAAAAAGTTAAGGCTGTAAGAATTGCTCATTAACATATAAAGCACAGGTGTGACATGGAATATGTGTGTAGTAAAGAGTAAACTCACTTTGTTTGGGGTTTTAGCCCCGTGTCTTAACGATATTTCCAACAATAATAATGGCCAGTATTAAGTGCAATAGAAATACCGAAAATTGTTCTTCCCTTTGTTAATGAGATTTTTTTTTTTGAGATATATACAAGAGTTGTTACATTCTTGTACAGCCACTAGTACGCGTAGCGTTTCGGGCAAGTCCTTAATCCTATGGTCCCTGGAATACGATCCCCTGCCGCGAAGAATCGTTTTTTTCATCCAAGTACACATTTTACTGTTGCGTTAAACAGAGGCTGCAGTTAAGGAATTGCGCCCAGTAAATCCTCCCCGGCCAGGATACGAACCCATGACATAGCGCTCGCGGAACGCCAGGCGAGTGTCTTACCACTACACCACGGACACTGCTAAATCGGTTGGTCGGGTCGTAGAGGCTCCTGTGCCGAAGCTTGCTGGAAGAACTGTTGTGTGTTGTAAAAGTTGTCAGGGAGTGCTTCCTGACTCGTGTGTTTCTTTACAAGTTGCTGTGTGTACGTGACTCCCACCCTCTCGCCAGCTGGGTTCCAATAATTTTTGCTGGTTCTGTTTATGTTTTAAGGAATAGGGTGTCAAGCTATATTTCTTGTGTATTTAATTATATTCAGTCCTAGTGAATACTATTTTATTAACTTTAAACACTAGACTGAAGTTTTTGAAAGAAATGAGAGTTAATATATTTACCTGTTGTGTGATGACGTCACGGTATCCCATTCTCTAAATTCTTTAGGGGTTACTATAGTTAACATGTGTGTTGGATTTCCGACAAGGGGAGGTCAGTGTGACCCGAGGGGAGGTCAGTGTGACCCGAGGGGAGGTCAGTGTGACCCGAGTCATGGGGGTAAATGATTTATTATTATTCATTTCTTTATTATGCACCCCATACCTATCCCGTGGGCGGTGGTGGAAAGGGTTACAGAGGCACATAATGGTTCAGGAACTGAACCACATAGTTTAGCTAAGCAAGTGACAGTCTTGTGAAGCTAGTTGCACAATTGTTAATATTACATACACATGTACATATATATACTGTACATCCATGTACACAAATACATATACATATCAATAATCTTTTTATATCACAAGTGATTCATTCAACAAGAGGCTCACAACAGTCGCTATACAAAGCACTTTACATCTATGGTGAGTCACACAGTTACTAGTCTTGCTGCACACCCACCCAACTGGGCGGCAGCTTTAGTCATGTGCTCCACACCCACCCAACTGGGCGGCAGCTTTAGTCATGTGCTCCACACCCACCCAACTGGGCGGCAGCTTTAGTCATGTGCAGGCTGCACCTACAGTCATGTGCAGGCTGCACCTACAGTAAGGAAATTTTGGATACTTGGCTAAGATTCCGGGTAGGACGTCATTATAAATGAAGTACTTACACATTTTTTGGACTCCATTGATGGTGTTCTCTGAATTCCGCGATTTTTTCTCATTCCATTATATAATGACGCAAAGTATGCGAATAGTTCTGCTGACAGAGTTTACAATTAGTCACATTTACATCAGCAGATGTTGCAAACTTCCAGAGGTACTTGTAGCCGAGCCTAAACCTATAAGTAGTAACGTCTAGAAGTCTGCTATTATTATTATTGCGTCTATTAACCATAGACGTGCGGTACTTCCTGCATAATGGAACGATAATAGATGGAGGAACTGGTGATAATTTCACTTTGCCTCAAATCTACGAGATTTTGTTGATGTTCCCAGAATATTACTGCCCTCAGGCTGATCAAAGACAGTCCAAGATGGTAATCAATCCCTCTTTTCGAGCAAAAGTTTTGGCTAACTCATCAGTTCTACCATGCATTCGAGACCAACATGGGAAGGAATTCCACAGGAGATAAATTCTGACTCCATTATTGACTATTTCATTATATCTGTCTCCAGCCTCAGACACAAGGATGTCACAGCTATGCCTTGGGGAGCTGAGGCCAGTTCAGGATAATAAGGAGTCACTTACGATTAGCGTGTCAACTTTGGATTCATCATTCGCGTTTGAATGCAAGGATTGTGGCAACCAATTATGTTTGAAGAGTGGAGGCCCAGTTATACATATACGCACTCCACATTTATAGGAGAGTGTGGAGCCAGACCCAGCACCTCGTCTCCCACCGACCTGCCAGAAGACTTCCCAGTCCTACCAAACAGTAGGACAGGCCACCCGGCCTCCACACTGGGGACCTAAGGACCAACCATCACCCTCACAGTCCCTTGCATCACGTGCAGGCATTATCCCTGGTGTTATTCGACTAGCGGAGAGGCTTGGCGGACCAGACAATCAACGAATCGTCAAGGAACTCGGCATGCTGTACTTTGCCAACGACCCTGGACCCCATCATCGCCCCGGACGCAAGTCTCACTGCCTCCACTACCACTCCGGAGACTACCACCAGGACGACCACGAGGTCATCTCAACACAGACTCCAGAACCACCCAAAACCCGGGAGGCACAAACAGGTATTTCCCTCCCCAGCTCCCAACACTCCTTCCATCACCATCTCAGCAGACACTTTATTGCACTAGTAGACGTGCTGTCTACAAATACTAACAGCACCCCAACGCTCATGAAATAGCTTCTACCACTAATCCACGACACCTGAGCCTACCTCATGCTGCGAGACCAAAGACAAAACCACCAACTACAGAGGTTACGGACTCCTCAGACGAGGAAATCTTAGTAGGAGCTCCACCGCCGCAGCACAAATACGACACCTACTCGGTACAAGACCTCCTCATGAAGACCACCTCACCAGACTACAACGACAGCACGGCCATGTCAACTCGCAGCAAGTCTCAGCCAAAGAAAAAACGGAAGACCTAAAGGTCTGCACTAACCCACCAGCTCCATAACTGGTTCAGCCAGCCCTCCGAGGCTGAAATCCACCATAAAAAGCACATCCATCCGCAAACCTCTAGTATCAGCTATTGGTACTGGTAATGGTTCGAAAGAGCCTCCACTTACCGTCTATTCATGCCCGTGCCACCTTTAGGGTGGCTTAATCTTTCTTTATCAATGAATCAATCATAGGAGAGGAAGCCATCTCTCGCTGTCACAATGACTGCACTTCCAGCTGCACCATGGACAATGTCAGCACTGTGGAGAAATGCCCTACAGACCTTTGGAACATTATCTACCACAGTGCACAGTTACAAACCCATTAAGATTTCAACTTAGATTCAACAGAGCAGAAGAAATTGTTAAACGCACGGGACAAAATCTTACTGAAGCGACCATACGAGTCATAAGCAACACTTGGTGAGCCAGCCAGAGGCTTAGGGCCTGCGCAGGAATATCCCTGCCCTCCCCTCCCCCCCCCAAAAAAAAAATAAATAAATAAAATGCACCATGGGACTAGTGCAAGGAGCCATTAGTGTAAATAACCTGGGAAAGGGAGCGCTCTCTGACGAAAGCATCAGTTTGACTTAAGGCATTGTACTTTGCTTCTTGTCGAAGCATGGCTTGTTCTCTAATCAGCTTCTTGGGTGGGAAAGGTTGGACAGTAATTTGGAAAGGAGTGATCTCCCATGGGGCAGGAAAGTGTCGTTGTTGTCTGTCATGGTAGAGATGATGAATATTATACATTCTGAGCACAGTGGCAGTTTTGGTAATCCATTTGGAGGGATGCTGACCTTCAAGAAAGAAGGCTTAGAGGAGGGCTTCAGTGCAGGGGTTAGGGTGGATTAACCTAAATATCTTGATACCAATTAAAGCATTAATTTCAGTGATACGATCACTTACACATGAAACATTCAGTTCCTTCCTCATGTTTAGTAATTTAGTTGTACGGGGGCATCCGAGGATGATCCTCATGGCTTCGTTTTGCATCTTTTCCCGCCCTCCCAGCATTCTCTCAGGCACTAGGGCAAGCATGGGTGCAGCATAACCAATCAGAGACCTAATATATGAGAGAGACATCATTTTGCCAATTCTCACATTTGCACCATAGCTTGGATGGTAGCCTGCCACGGCCTTGAGAGCACGGAGCCTCTCTCCACATTGGTGACCCAGTCTGGCTACAACATTGTGATACAATGGAACCTCAAGACCAAGGTATTTGTATCAGATTACATAGTCGAGCAGAGAGCCATCACGCAGCTGCCTCTTGCGAACAGCCCCACCCCTGCCTGGGTGGGCGTCGGGTCACGACCTTTGTTTCCTGAAGGCCTTTGTCTCTTGCGAAGGAATGGCTCACATTATAACAGGGAAATTTTAATAAGATGGGGAAACTTAAAAAAAAATGTTTTTACAATATATTAGTAATATCAAACGAGAGTCTGGTGATGAGGGATGATACCTGAGAGCGGTGTTGCCGCTGCCTGCTCTTTTTTGACTGCGTTATCAATTAAATCTGGTATAATGATTCTCTATTGACGGTATTTTGATCTTGTATAATGCTATACCAATAACAGAATTTTCGTAAAGTGTTACTCTGTTAGTGCAAAATTCATGGTATATTAAACCGGTATTACTGTACAACATTCACGGTATATTAATATTGTATTACTGTGTAACATTCATGGTATATTGATCCGATATTACTGTACAACATTCATTACATATTGACCCATATTAATGTGCAAAATTCAGAGTATATTGACCTGGTATTACTGTGCAACATTCACGACACATTGACCTGGTATTACTGTGCAACATTCACGACACATTGACCTGGTATTACTGTGCAACATTCACGACACATTGACCTGGTATTACTGTGCAACATTCACGACACATTGACCTGGTATTACTGTGCAACATTCACGACACATTGACCTGGTATTACTGTGCAACATTCACGACACATTGACCTGGTATTACTGTGCAACATTCACTGTATATTGACCTAAAAATATATTTAACGTTTCAGACGCTCTTCTGGCGGACCTTCAGAACAGCATCACGCCCACAACGTCCGCTCCCACTACGCCCCACCCGGCCCACAACGGCGCCGCCCACACGCCCACGGCCTCCCACACGCCCACGGCCTCCCACACGCCCACCGCCGCCCACAACAACAGCTACAATGGCCATGATGTGAGTACCTTGATGGTACTTGGCGGCCTTGATGCGTCTCTCTCTCTCCCAGGGAGTGACGCCCATGTTAATACTCCCACGCCGGCGGCGGCGTCACCACCAGTATCCGCACTCTCAGTACCATCGTCATTATATTCATCATTATTCTCGTTATCATCATCCTCATCTTCATCATCACTCTCGCCAGTATCATCACCATCGTCATTATCACCAGCGTCATTATCATCATAATGTTGTACCATTTCACCGCATGATATAGGCGCCAACGCTCTGTTTTGTGTGACACTGGCACCTGGTGACCCCCGGGGTGCCTGGCACCTGGTAATCCCCGGGGTGCCTGGCACCAGGTGACCCGCGGGGTGCCTGGCACCTGGTGACCCCCGGGGTGCCTGGCAGCAGGTGACCCCCGGGGTGCCTGGCACCTGGTAATCCCCGGGGTGCCTGGCACCAAGTGACCCCCAGGGTGCCTGGCACCTGGTGACCCCCAGGGTGCCTGGCACCAAGTGACCCCCGGGATGCCTGGCGCCTGGTGACCCCCGCCATGCCTGGCACCAGGTGACCCCCAGGGTGCCTGGCACCATGTGACTCCCGGGGTGCCTGGCACCAGGTGACCTCCGGGGTGCCTGGCACCAGGTGACCCCCAGGGTGCCTGGCACCAGGTGACCCGGGGTGCCTGGCACCAGGTGACCCCCAGGGTGCCTGGCACCAGGTGACCCGGGGTGCCTGGCACCAGATGACCCCCGGGGTGCCTGGCACCTTGTGACCCTCGGGGTGCCTGGCACCTGGTGACCCCCGGGGTGCCTGGCACCTGGTGACCCCCGGGGTGCCTGGCACCAGGTGACCCCCGGGGTGCCTGGCACCAGGTGACCCCCGGGGTGCCTGGCACCTGGTGACCCCCGGGGTGCCTGGCACCTGGTGACCCCCGGGGTGCCTGGCACCTGGTGACCCCCGGGGTGCCTGGCACCTGGTGACCCCGGGGTGCCTGGCACCAGGTGACCCCCAGGGTGCCTGGCACCATGTGACTCCCGGGGTGCCTGGCACCAGGTGACCCCCGGGGTGCCTGGCACCAGGTGACCCCCGGGGTGCCTGGCACCAGATGACCCCCGGGGTGCCTGGCACCAGGTGACCCCCAGGGTGCCTGGCACCTTGTGACCCCCGGGGTGCCTGGCACCTGGTGACCCCCGGGGTGCCTGGCACCTGGTGACCCCCGGGGTGCGTGGCACCAGGTGACCCCCGGGGTGCCTGGCACCAGGTGACCCCCGGGGTGCCTGGCACCTGGTGACCCCCGGGGTGCCTGGCACCTGGTGACCCCCGGAGTGCCTGGCACCTGGTGACCCCCGGGGTGCCTGGCACCAGGTGACCCCCGGGGTGGCTGGCACCTGGTGACCCCCGGGGTGCCTGGCACCTGGTGACCCCCGGGGTGCCTGGCACCTGGTGCCCTCCGGGGTGCCTGGCACCAGGTGACCCCCGGGGTGCCTGGCACCAGGTGACCCCCGGGGTGCCTGGCACCTTGTGACCCCCGGGGTGCCTGGCACCAGGTGACCCCCGGGGTGCCTGGCACCTTGTGACCCCCAGGGTGCCTGGCACCAGGTGACCCCCGGGGTGCCTGGCACCAGGTGACCCCCGGGGTGCCTGGCACCTTGTGACCCCCAGGGTGCCTGGCACCAGGTGACCCCCGGGGTGCCTGGCACCAGGTGACCCCCGGGGTGCCTGGCACCAGGTGACCCCCAGGGTGCCTGGCACCAGATGACCCCCGGGGTGCCTGGCACCTTGTGACCCCCAGGGTGCCTGGCACCAGGTGACCCCCGGGGTGCCTGGCACCAGGTGACCCCCGGGGTGCCTGGCACCAGGTGACCCCCAGGGTGCCTGGCACCAGGTGACCCCGGGGTGGCTGGCACGCCTGGCACCATTTGACCCCTAGGGTGCCTGGCACCAGGTGACCCCCAGGGTGCCTGGCACCAGGTGACCCCCGGGGTGCCTGGCACCAGGTGACCCCCAGGGTGCCTGACACCAGGTGACCCCCAGGGTGCCTGGCACCAGGTGACCCCAGGTGACCCCCGGGGTGGCTGGCACGCCTGGCACCAGGTGACCCCCAGGGTGCCTGGCACCTGGTGACCCCTAGGGTGCCTGGCACCAGGTGACCCCCAGGGTGCCTGGCACCAGGTGACCCCCAGGGTGCCTGGCACCAGGTGACCCCAGGGTGCCTGGCACCAGGTGACCCCCGGGGTGCCTGGCACCAGGTGACCCCCAGGGTGCCTGGCACCAGGTGATCCCCAGGGTGCCTGGCACCAGGTGACCCCCGGGGTGGCTGGCCGGCACGCCTGGCACCAGGTGACCCCAGGGGTGCCTGGCACCTGGTGACCCCCAGGGTGCCTGGCACCAGGTGACCCCCAGGGTGCCTGGCACCAGGTGACCCCCAGGGTGCCTGGCACCAGGTGACCCCCGGGGTGCCTGGCACCAGGTGACCCCCAGGGTGCCTGAAACCAGGTGACCCCCGGGGTGCCTGGCACCAGGTGACCCCCAGGGTGCCTGGCACCAGGTGACCCCCAGGGTGCCTGGCACCAGGTGACCCCCAGGGTGCCTGGCACCTGGTGACCCCCAGGGTGCCTGGCACCAAGTGACCCCCGGGGAGCCTGGCACCAGGTGACCCCCAGGGTGCCTGGCACCAGGTGACCCCCAGGGTGCCTGGCACCAGGTGACCCCCGGGGTGCCTGGCACCTGGTGACCCCCAGGGTGCCTGGCACCAAGTGACCCCCGGGGAGCCTGGCACCTGGTGACCCCCGGGGTGCCTGGCACCAGGTGTCCCCCAGGGTGCCTGGCACCAGGTGACCCCTGGGGTGCCTGGCACCAAGTGACCAGGAGTAACGAGCCTCTTATCGAGGATCAGAAACAACTACCTTCAGAATTGTTGTAAATTATTCGCTACTCAGACCGCGGAATGAGAACGCAGTAAACAGGAGATCGTAAGGCACAAACGGAGAGTCAAGGGTGGTAAACAATGTGGGGGGGGGGGGCACGGCAAACAAGCAACCAGCTGCCCTAAACAGTCGATGACCCCATCTGTAAACACCCGGCTCCCTCCTGGGGGCTTAATTGCTGCCCTCGCCTTTTGTTTTCTCTATATTCCTCTCGCTCACGCGTGCACAGGTGCCAGACAGGCTGGCAGGACGGCAGGTCGCAGGGCAGGCAGGCCGGACGGTTCCTTTGGCCCACATGTAATGTTTTCAAAGATACGTATTGGAGGTTGTACAAGGGGTGCTGTATGCAGGACAGATGCCATCAAGACACCTTTGGAGCCTGTACTCCCTTTGTGCTGCCTCCGGCATGTTATCTCTGATATCTCACCCACTAGCATTGTCTCCACCACAGTCCTGGCCACACGCGTTAATGTAATGCTTTCTCAGTTAGGGCAGCCTGGTGGACCAAACTCTCACAAGTCAAGCCTGGCCTCGGGCCGGGCTTGGGGGAGTAGAACTACTCCCAGAACCCCATCAACCAGGTATCAACCAGGTATCAACCAGGTATCAACCAGGTATCAACGCTCTCATCTGATTGGCTAAGATAATCACGTGACACCACCGTCAAAGGTTCCAGAAGGTTCCTGGACTCCACAGTTTTTTAAACACTAAAGAAAGGAAACACGAATAAATCTGCGAAAAATTAGCAAAATGATATAAATACTTAAATGACATGACAAACGTTATGTCATTCTTCTTTTGACATGCGGGAAAAGTCCATATGATACTAAAATAGGTGGAAATGAACAAACAGGCACATGGTATCATGTCACTGGGTGTGGTCAGCCAGGGGGGTCATGTCACTGGGAGTGGTCAGCCAGGGGGGTCATGTTACTGGGTGTGGTCAGCCAGGGGGGTCATGTTACTGGGTGTGGTCAGCCAGGGGGGTCATGTTACTGGGTGTGGTCAGCCAGGGGGGTCATGTCACTGGGTGTGGTCAGCCAGGGGGGTCATGTCACTGGGTGTGGTCAGCCAGGGGGGTCATGTCACTGGGTGTGGTCAGCCAGGGGGGTCATGTCACTGGGTGTGGTGAGCCAGGGAGGTCATGTCACTGGGTGTGGTGAGCCAGGGAGGTCATGTCACTGGGTGTGGTCAGCCAGGGGGGTCATGTCACTGGGTGTGGTCAGCCAGGGGGGTCATGTCACTGGGTGTGGTCAGCCAGGGTGTGGTCAGCCAGGGGGTCATGTCACTGGGTGTGGTGAGCCAGGGAGGTCATGTCACTGGGTGTGGTGAGCCAGGGAGGTCATGTCACTGGGTGTGGTCAGCCAGGGAGGTCATGTCACTGGGTGTGGTCAGCCAGGGGGGTCATGTCACTGGGTGTGGTCAGCCAGGGGGGTCATGTCACTGGGTGTGGTCAGCCAGGGGGGTCATGTCACTGGGTGTGGTGAGCCAGGGAGGTCATGTCACTGGGTGTGGTCAGCCAGGGAGGTCATGTCACTGGGTGTGGTCAGCCAGGGGGGTCATGTCACTGGGTGTGGTGAGCCAGGGAGGTCATGTCACTGGGTGTGGTCAGCCAGGGAGGTCATGTCACTGGGTGTGGTCAGCCAGGGGGTCATGTCACTGGGTGTGGTCAGCCAGGGGGGTCATGTCACTGGGTGTGGTCAGCCAGGGAGGTCATGTCACTGGGTGTGGTCAGCCAGGGGGGTCATGTCACTGGGTGTGGTCAGCCAGGGAGGTCATGTCACTGGGTGTGGTCAGCCAGGGGGGTCATGTCACTGGGTGCTGGGTGTGGTCAGCCAGGGGGGTCATGTCACTGGGTGTGGTCAGCCAGGGAGGTCATGTCACTGGGTGTGGTCAGCCAGGGAGGTCATGTCACTGGGTGTGGTCAGCCAGGGAGGTCATGTCACTGGGTGTGGTCAGCCAGGGGGGTCATGTCACTGGGTGTGGTCATGTCACTGGGTGTGGTCAGCCAGGGAGGTCATGTCACTGGGTGTGGTCAGCCAGGGGGGTCATGTCACTGGGTGTGGTCAGCCAGGGGGGTCA